TCGGAATCTTTGGGACGTGGAGTAACCTGTCGTTACACTCGAAGTGAGGAAAGAATGTGACTGACGGTTGTCTTGCGAGTGACGTGCTCTGGGCGCCTGCGAGATATGTCACGAGCAAGTCGTTCAAGAAGCCGGAGGGGGTCGTGTGAAACATGTTTGCAGAATATGTTGCAACAGTTAGGAAAAGTCGGCGACCAGAAACGTTTACTATTGGTAGTAACGCGACAAATAGAGCATGCATTTTTGGGAGCCATTCATATCTCTTTATTGATGGGAACACAGATAAATATATTATTGTAGTTCAGCCTTATAAACAACATTTTTTGTTACATGAAATATTTAATAAAATTACTTATTATGGCAGATATTGACGTATTTTCCGCTTACGATACGAATATTTACTTCATCACACATTCATCTAATTTCAGCGAGAGAATCGTCGGGAGGTAGCGGTAAACCTAACAGCCGACCATCGTTTTATCGAACACATCTCAAATACCCGTAAAGTCACAATAAAGTTGTTTCCAAAAATTAACTTTGATTTCTCTTACAAATTTATAAAGATATTTTACAAAAAACAACGTAAGCAAATCGTTTATAATGTTGCTTGTTTGCATTCGTACAAATTTGACAACTTGCTAACTATCTTCCTCGTTTTCAAAACATGTACACACACAATAAAACTCACCACTATAAATTACAGAAAATCTTCATTAACACGAATTGCAAGGGACCGTAATAATCGGAGTTCGTAATGCACTGATAAGCTACAAAAGACATTTACACACAGTGTCTTGTGTCTTTGTGATGAAAGTCTGATAAATTGGGCCACAAACACAGTTGAGATAATATTACATTAATGTCATAGTAAGAGCTGCATGAATCATTATGCTACGGCAATTACGGAAATTGAGGCTCTTGAAGTGAATTTCATTGCATTGCCTCCGATCGGAAGGTCCTAGGGTTGGAGCCCCAATGATAGCAGGATTTTTGACACTAATTAGGCTAGGTCTGAATTGGACAATTATTTTAAAAATAGAAAGAACCAGAATTGGATGAATTCTTTACATGTCAACAACGTATGTACAATTGAATTTGCCGAATGTTCGAGTAGATGCTAAAAAAAACTACGCTAGATCGAATTCAGCCGCTATCTGGAGTAGAATTCTAGACCGGATGCTCTGATCGGTAGTTTTCGTGTTAGTTCGGTCAACAATAGACGAATACCAACAACCTTGGGCCATGGACCGCGCGCGTACTTTCCTTCCTCTTCCTTGTATCATCATACTTTACTTATATCGGTGGATCTCACCACTCAGCGTGGGAAAATCACCGTCAATCTCCGTGATAAAAAAAGCATGGGTTGCTCTTACACTTACAAGACTAATGAATGCAGCAATTGACGCGCTCGGAAACACAAATTAATCAATCAATGAATGTCTCATAAGTCTCATCAGCACGAAATGCTTCAGCAATATACTTCATAGACGAATCTACTTGCACAATGATCATTTCCTTACTCTCCACTGCTTGGTGTAAACTTATTTATCACACTATTGTGACTACTGAGTGTGTAAAATGTTATCCATCATTGCGTAACACAAAGTTAAAGAAAGAAAAATGACAGAATGACCTCTTCCGTTTGACTATATTCATGGGACTAAAGCAAGACGCGGTGGCAACTGAATGTCGGTCAGTTACATTGCCAAATACCTTCTGTATTCAGAACACGCGTATTCCAACCTACAAATGTACAATTCCCAACAAAACCTTGCAGTTCGTTTTTGGCAACATTAAAAAATACATGTTCACAAATTTAACAAAATACCCATTCGAAAATATGTTACTACAAGTGTATTTAAAAAATGAAGTTATTACCGTTAAAATAAGTTCAAAATGGCATTTTTACTGCAAGAATTAGTTTCGAGCATGCATCATGAGTGTATGAACTTTCGCAATTCTACGCTTAAGATGAGAATAATGAAGAAATTTAAATTATAACACTTAATGCATGCATAATTTGAATACATTAATCAGCTGTTCTGCGGAACGGTTGTTGTTGTAGACATGTAGTTGATGAAATTTCTTGAAAAAATGTGTGAAATTGACGAACAATTTGTTACATCGCGCGCCAAACGCTATCAGTTAATGAATCTGCTCGGCGCATAAAATCGAACCGTGTGCCAACAGGGCGTTTCCCGCATGGCAAGGCAAACCACTTGCATCTGCGGCAAGAAATTTGTCACCTAAAAGCATACTGTAGCGCAACGCCAACTTTTCCAACTTTTCCAAACTTGACACAAAATAACTTTGGAAAATATTAAAAGAATAATAAAATAATCGATTTTTGTAGTAGAAGAGAAGTTGCTTCCCCCTCTGCATTACACAATATCATGAAACTTTACACGCAAAGAGTAAACTGAATAAAAAAGTGCAAAACAGAATTTTAAAATTAGATTCATTGTTGTTATCAGATTCATTTTTGTTATCACAAAACTTTTTCCAAAATAAACGGTTACTTTACAGTTTCTTATGATTACGAATGCAAATCAAAAATTTCATTATGGGTTTAATTTTTTCATAAAACTTGAAATAATACATCGTCAGTGAACAAAACATGTAACATATTACAAAAATTTTAATTTTGGAGGGCAATGTGTTTAATGTGCGCGGAGACGTTTACTTACGGAAACGAAGTGTTTTTCTCTAAATTTCATCTGCTTTGTATCTATCTGCATAAAATTTTTACTATTTATACTATTTTTTAAATGTGTATCTTCACTTTACTAAGCAATGATGGTCTTTGACATGTGTTCCTGTTCTTGTGTAATGACGATATTAGGCCTTCCTCTCAGCATGCAACAGAACGGCCAGCATAACCGAAGAAACTCATCACTGACAATGTCCCGGTAGAAGATGAGCACGTTAAGGAAGTAAAAAAAACAACAACAATCAACAACTTCGCCTGTACGGAGTTCATCCTCATTGTCGTCCTCATCATCATCAACTCCATCCGGCAGTTAGCCCGAAACCGCCGGCGCACGTGACTCGACATATCCACCCCGGCGACTTTCTTCCTGGGCCACGCGCGGAGAAAACGTGCGTGCACCAGTTGCCCAGATTCCGCACACTGCGCTGCCGGGCGGCAGAAGACCAGAGGAAAAGGACGGCACCCGCCAAGCGTCAGGGCAAATTCCGAGGGCAAGGAAATGAGAGATGCGAGACGAAAAAGGAAGGGATTAACGCCACATTGAATACGCTTTAATTATTTTACGATGTCAAACAACCTTGAACACTGACCCATAGCAACAAAGAGCCAACCGTCAAGGGAAAAATAATGTAAAACCATTTTCCACACTTCTTTTACTTGTGCAAAATATAATACATTTTTTTATTTTAATACAGTATGAAACATCGCGGAGCCTGAACGATAGATGTTTCAAAACTGCGCTGCCTGTTAAATATAATGATGATTCGCGCACTTCTTATATAACTTACTATAAATGTTTTATACAATAAAAACATGAAGATAATCGTTCTGACAGTCATACTACTGTTCGTCTTCATTAATATAAATCATGTTCGTAAGCTAATGGAATAATTTCGAATTAGTATTGTTTTAATGAAGGAGATATCAGTTACTGGCCTCTTTTCAAAAATTGTGTTTCGTAACTTTTTCGTCCTTTACCAATCAGCAACCACGAATGACGTAACGATACCAAGAATTATTCTGCATAATACTAAAAGCGCGTAACAAATATTAAACGGCTTTTCTGAATACACAAGTCTCATCCCGATACCGTTATTCGCCTACTTCCTCTTGTTTTGAGCAAACGTTGTCTTCCATCGATTTAGCGTTTTGAGAGATGGTTCCTTAGATCGCTTCTTCTCGCCCTTCTGGCCATTAAAGGTAGCCTCTCCCCATTACGAGTCGCCCTTTTCATGTATGCTAACGAAATAATGAAGGCGAAATTAAAAAGCGCGCTTGGCGTAATGTCGGGGCGCGCGCGCCGGCCGCGCTGCACGCGGATGCGCATCTGCATGCAAGCGCCGCGAGTGGCGTGCTGGTCCGCACGCCCGCCTATGCTAAACAGCCGCGCCGCGCGCACAGTGGCTGGCGACGGGCGAAACGCGGAAAAAGTCTCACGCCCCAGTTGCAATTTCAGGACAACCAATCAAATTTGTGGTCAAAATTTAAAGATTCAAAATTGTGGATGTAACCACTACTAACATCGTGAAATTTAATTCATTGGTGGTAAGTTTTACGAATTGTATTTAAGTTTAATGATTTAAAATGTGCGTTTGAACGTAATGAACGGAGAAGGCAATTTAACAATTAAATATGGTAAATTAAAAGTGTTGTCTGGTATCAAACATTAATTTTGCTATTGATCGTTTCGATCGCGTAGCGATCATCCTCAGAGCTTGCAGCTTCCGGGCCGAAAATAAGTTCTGCTAATTTTGAAGAACTTTGTTTTCGGCTCAGAAGCTGCAAGCTCTGAGGATGATCGCTACGCGATTATTAGCGAAATCAATTTTTGATACCAGACAACACTTTTAATTTACCATATTTAATTATTAGAAGGTGCGATCTAAATAACAATTTAACAAGTCACTGCAATTCGTCTGCTGCTTCAATTTTATTGCAGTTTAAATGTTAGTAATACTGTCCATGTGGATCTGGTATTTTCACATTTCATGTTTTGACATCATATGTGAAATCAATGATTTTAATAGATAATAAATCCTAGGAATAATTATCCTAGATTTTAATAGATAATAATTAATCCTAGGAACCATATTCAAGCAACACGTTAGTTAGTAATGAAAATATGTAGCAAATCAACTTATCAGAACACAACGATAAGTTAGAGTGACTGTGTCGTTCACTGATCTTATACTTTATTTTGCTCATGTATTACATTTAATACTTTTATGTTATTGCAATTTATAAAATAAAATAGTTTTCTTCAATATATTACAACTTTAATGTTACTTAC